TGACATAGTTCCTTAATTGTGCCATAAAATGGAAAAAACATAAAACTGTCCCTCAAACTAGTTACTATCTAAAGCTTATTCTGTATTTTATCTCAAGCTTGAGTCTAAATGACATTTAAATATGGCAGTAAATGTTAGAGCTGGCAATAATTCTTTCTCTTCTGTTTCAAATATAAGCTTTTCGCACTTATTTGTTTAAAATTTCTGCGATATTATCGAAAAAGAGGAAAAACAATGGTATTTTTTACTCAGGGCTGACTGCTCTATCTCCTTGTTTCCGAATTCATTTCCGTTTCAACTGTCTAAACAGAGGATTCATCACTCTGTCTACATTTTCAAGGACTTGTAAATAACATGCAGACAGTAGAGCAAGTTTCCTTCAGCTTTTTTATTTACTTTTAATTTTTATTTTTTTGCTAACCTGAAGTCGCAGAGATGCAGACAGACAAAGAGATAAACCAGAGTGTCCGGAAAAGCAGTGGACTAGTGGGGAAAAAAAAAGACACAGAATGATCAACCTAAATAGATCAATCTGGTCAGCTAAGGTGGTGAAATCCTCATTGCAAAAGACGAGAAAACGAGTATAGCGTTTTATTTATCGCAGATTGTTCTACGACACCACTACTTATCTATGTTACACACAATGCCTAATGTTCCTCGGAGCAAATCCGTCTGTATCTGTTTAATCCTTACACAGTCACAGGTGCTTCCCTACAGTGTTCAATAGGCCATCACATGGCACCACAGAGGCAAACAACAATAAATGCACTCAGACTCAAAACCTGCATGGTTTCAGACAGTAGAAACTAAAGAAACGGCACATGCATGTGGCAAACATGCATCTTCTTTCTGCTAAGCAAAAGTCCAAACAATTGCACCAACATGCAAACAAGAACTACACAACATAAAATGGATATAAGAGACATTTACAAGTAAATGTCGAGTGAGGAGAACATGGCGATCTCACCACGGCATGAACTCTTTTGAACATTTCACTGCCCCAGTTTAGTTCATCTAAAATTGAAGATGTCACTTCAGCCAATAATGGCATCGCTGACGAGCAGGCCTCGATCAGTTCAGATGTGTGGATTTTGTCCATTTAAAGTCGAATAAAAACAAATGATCTGTTTTATCACCAGCAACACTCACTGGAGCATCCAGGATGTAAAGTTTTACAATGAAAACAAAAACAATACCTGTACAACGTGATGTCTGAGCACTGTGACAGTACTTCTCAAAGCTGAAATTTGTTTCGTTTGTTATTTTCTCCTCAGCCAAACAATTTCATTTATTACATTTTTATCTTTGAAAGCTGCTGAGTTTTTCACTGAGGCTATAAAGAATTGAAATTTCTTTGAACTCCTGGGAATACATGATATCTATATTAATGTTTTGTTTTTGTTTTTTTTCCTTGAAAGCTGCTTAAATTTACACTGAGGATATAAACAGTTGTTTTTGTTTTTCTTATGTTTTCTGCTTTGCCTGCTACTTAAAAAAGCATTTGCCAAAGAGAGCTACACTTTTTTTAATATATTGATTTATTTTCCCCTCTAAAATGCCCTCTTTACCTTTTCACCTCTCCTGTTTTCTCTTTTATCCGCTCATTTACAATTTTCTTTCTGTTTTTTCCTTCTGACTCTGCAGGATGCAAAAGTGACAAAGAGCGAAGGGAGCCTGGTGGGTGAAGAGTCAGCTTCTCTCCTTTTGGTCAACACCAAGATACAAGCTTTAAGTTGTCCTTATTTGTTTTATTTATTTGATGCAATATTTGCCACAGAAATGTATAGCAGAAAACAAATTATTCTGGAAAAAGACTGAACATTAACAGAGGAGGGAGAAAGAAGGGATGGAGGCAGGAGAGAAGAAGGAGGCACCAAAATTATTAAATAGTTGTAGGAAAGAATCAACAAAAAGCAAAGCAAACAGCTTAGTGGTGCCCATCTCAGCAAACACAGAGATGATCTGAGCAATTTAACTACTTACGACTATTATTTGAACGAAGCTGTTACTATGGAGAGAGATGCAGCTGAGAAGACCGAGAACTGACAGAGAAAAGAGAGCCATAGATGCAGCTACAATGACCATCAGGGAAGAAGATATAAAAAGGAACAGAAAAAAATGTCTTCGCCTAAATGTGATAAGATATATAGTTAATCTGACAAGTGCTACTATGTATTCCTGGATAGTTGTCCATGCTTTTCCTTTAAGCTCGGAGTTATCGGAAGAGATGAAGCAGAGAAAACCAAACAGGTAGAGGGACAAGAGAGAGCAGCTAGAATAGCAACTAGGAAGGAGAGTGTGTGAATCCTCCTCATGTGAAGCATGTATTTCAAAAAGTGAATTTCAGCCTCTCAGCGCCGCATAAAGCATTCTTTGTCGTAGTGCTGCTGGTTACCATAAAGATATGACAAACTGAAAATTCACACCAGATAACAGGAAGCTAAAACTAATCCACTTGCAGAGTTTTGACCAGGTTAGTTTTGACCAGGTTAGTTCTGACCGGGTTATTTTCGGAACGCAACCCCCGCGAAAAACGAGGGATCACTGTACTCTATAACAGAGCACCCTGGTTAACATGGCCTGCATCACTACAAAATGAACATTTGTTAAATGTGACTATAAAATAATATGCGGCTGATAGATTCTGAAAATAAGTGTCATTCATTTAGATCTAATATTCTGCTATAAAGGAATCGATTTCAGAGTATGATGAATAAAAGAATCCCCTCTTTCTTGCTGAGAACAGAGCTTATTGATTGTTGAGCTTGTGATGCGGAGCCGAACACGCAGGGAGCATTTCACCGGTCCAGAGAAGAAGTGAAATGAGAAGCAGCAGAAAAAAAAGGCAAATATCACACCAAGAGTAAAGAAGCCAAAGATGAAAAACAGAGATACCTCAGAAAACAGGTATTGATCCAAATTCACAGTGGAGGCCTGCACACAGCCGGACCAAGCTTCCTGATGTGACCTTCTATGGAGGCTGGAGGGATTGCTGGAAGTCAGCAGGAAGTTTCAAGAAAAGCACACAGGTTGGGTGGAGTGTGTCACTTATTTAGGGCTTTTATAACGTCTCAGATCTTAGAGGGTTTTTTAAAAACCTGCGTGAGCTCAGACTAAAGCAGCACTTTGCTGGGAACATTAAGGAAGTGAATCATCTTTTACTTTGTGCTTCTTTTGAACTTGTGGCATTACTGTCTTAGTCAACAGGCACTAGGCTTCAATTGGCTGTTTTTATCCAACCAACAATAACAAAAAATATCCTCATCAAAGAGAAATAAATAGACTTCCTATCTGACTCCTAGACCTTGGGTTTACTTTAGGATGAAATATAAAATTACTCAACTGAGAAATCATAAAGTCTATTTATTTATTCACATTTAGTTTCTGGATGTTGTTCTAAATAATTGTCTTTAATTGATTGGTTTAACGGTTGGTACAATTTATAACTGATTTGTGTACTTACATAAATCATGGAACTTGCTGATGTAAGACATTTCAAGCAAACTAATCAAATTTGCTATTTGTTTCGAACATAAAGATGCAACTACCGGCATGTTATTTCTTTTTGGGGTTTTTTTAGAAAACATATCTAGACTGACTAAAACACAGCTGGATGATAAGCTTTGGTTTTCCTCATGAAGATTTTACAAATTAAAAAGATTTTAAGAAGCGCGCTTGAGGAAAAAACCCGTTAAATTGGCTTTGTGTTTGTTTGGGCTGATGACGTCACAAAAGGCAGAAAAAGAGGAGTTCTGACATTATGTGTTTGAGCTGGATTTTCTAAACTTTAACTGGTATAAATCTGTTTATAAACCTGTAAACTTTTCGTTTTTCATCTCTCATGGTCTTTGACACTGAAATGCATATTCAAAAACCATTTCCATATGCTTTCCTTCTGACAAATTTTTCTTCAATGCAAGCAGTATTCTCAGATACAGCTATGTGTTTTGCTGCACCCACACATAAGGACTACTGAAGGACGGAGTTGATTAAAAACAGCCACCATAAACATAAAGAAACAACAAAAATACAACAGGACAAATTAAGTTAATAAATAAACCTGTTATCAGCTTCCTTTTGCCTCATGTGATATCACCAGATAAATGTGCTTGTTTGGAAGCTTGTTTGTGGGGATTAAGAATTTATCGCAATTAGATAATTTACAACAAAACAGCAAAAGAAATTTTTAAAAAAGGTCAATAAAGTGTTATTCTATAGTAGCTATAGGCGTAAACATTGGTGCAGGCTTTAATTTACTAAGAAGTATAACATCCAGGAGTGTAGATGGAAAAAGTCCAGTAAAGCTACATCTACACATGAACCCATCAACTAATGGAAAGTTTTCACATATGCGAGGTGGAAAATATTGAACGGTGAGAGCAGGGGCAGCACGACAATAAACAATTTCTTGTTAATTGTCCTCCGGGTGTAAAGCTGGTTTCCACTTCTAATTTCCCCCTTTTTGCAAGGGGTTCCAGTGGATTTAATTTTCAAACATAGGTGTTTAAACATTGAGGCGCAGAATGAACAAGCTATATCAATCATCATGCCACAAGCTCCGGGCATCGAAGGAGACGATCACCATCCACCGACTAACAGCGCTCCGTGTACAACACGGAGAGTTACAGGACAAAATAAACATTCAATTTCCCCTCCGGAGGTCTCACTCCACCAAATCTGGGACACGCCAAATTGGGATTATTCTTTAGGGTAAAAATCACTCCGCCGCCAATCTCAGGCAAATGACACACATGTCCTCTGGAGGGGAGGAGAGGAGAGTGTCAGATCGGATCCACGAATCCTCTCTTATTCAAAATGCCCTCAAACGAGTTAAGTGTCCCGTTTAAAAACAAAACTAAAAAATCAAGCCACACCACTAAATGATCCCCGTCACGTGTCCCACCGGACCCTTCATCTACATCACATTAAGACGCGTTACCACAGCAGCCATGGAGGGCAGAGATGCTGTCATTACACAATGGGAGCGAACCGTTACCCACCTTCATCCCGCGGCGGCGTTCACATATAACGGCCGTGTGGCGGTGATTCCTCCCGCCGGTGCTGGACGTCCCTCCCCGCTCCTCCGCTCCGTTCTGTCTCCGGCTGGCTTTACACGGCAGGGAAGCCTCCGGCGCTCCCCCTCGCGCTCTGCCTCATGTGTGTCCGGGCTCGGGGAGCTGTCTGGTTATTGTTCGGGTGTCTCGGCTCTGACTCCTCGCAGCGGTTGCCTCCCTCTAACTGGGGTGTGTGTGGATGTCCCTCCGTCGTAAAGTAGCCAATGCGCGCGCGCTGGTGCTTATGACGCACGGTCGCGTTCAGTTGGCACGCGCGCTTACACGTTCATAATAATACAGAGGCAGAAAAAGCGCATTAATACGTGAGGGAAAGAGAGGGAATATTAATCTAGTCGGAGGGGGAAAGTGATAAAACCGAGCAGAAGTAGAAAGAAAGAGCTCAAATCTCTACTCAGGTTATAATTAAAGGACATTGTTTCTTGAGAATAGGGACAAAATGGGTTTGAATTTTCCCATATTTTTATTTTTATTATTTCTCAACCTTATGTATGCAAA